AAGGGCGGAATGGTTGTCTTAATGTACACCATGTTAATGTTATTGTTATATTCCTGATGTAGTTTAGTTCCTGTTTGAGTTATGTTCCTGTTTTATATCCTTGTTCCTGGTGTAAATAAATTTTATATTTACAAATTGATATTCCGTTGTCACTAATAGTGTTACACTAACATTATGCAAAGATTTCATTCCACTTGGTCTAGGAAACTTTTATGCTTGTTAACCAACATTATATCCAACAAGAAGGTGTTAAGTCGTACTGAAATTTTGGATACCAGCTAATATCTTCCAGTCGCATACTATCTCCAAATGCACCGTGACTTTGCATGCACTTGGACATACACCGAAGTCAAACACTTCCTATCGCCACTATTATGCGAACAATTAAATATAGAAGATCTGTTACTTCTGAAGGAGCTGCTATGAGATTCGGCCACTGACACTTTGATCAAATTGAAGAGACTCTTAATGGTATAAAATACTACACATTCTATGGCTGCCCTTCTTTATTAACAGAATGATCTGGCCAAAGTATAAAATTAATATACCAAGATGTTTGTTCCAGAAAAACCAGAGGGAATTAATATGTATCTTGAACGCCTAGAAACGCCTATTGTTTCAGGAACCATGGGGAAGCGTACACAAGGATTTTGCTACATACAATTGACACTGTGGATAACCATTCTCGGCTTACTACTGTACCACCAACTATATCAACATTGATACCTGGCGACGAAGAAAAATAAACTGGTCATGAAATTTCAACAACCCTTGGAGAAATAGTCAGCCTATGTTTACCTACAGTACATGCGTTATCTCGTTGTGACAACACAAGTTATTGGAAAACGAAAAGATTTTACAAAAATACGTCAATAGCTTAGCCCCACTTACGGAGAGAGCCTTGAATTAACTTATGTTCTCTGTAATAAATTTAACCAGGAACAAAACACGCGCCTTTTGTACCCCCGACGAATTGCGTTACGTTATTGCTATAGGTCAACGGACACATTGGCAGCCACTCTTCCTCTAACAGACGACGCCTTACACTTACACACCAGACGTACGTGGTGCAACATCATGAGGCAAAACCTAATATCCCTTGTCCAATTGATCATGGGTAGCGAAGAAATGGTGATAGTAGTCCCGGTTTTATTTGAGAAGGAATCTGCGAGAAGGACGTGGTTTTGCCCTATGATTCATGCTCAAGCTTGACTGCTTGGTCCGTGTTTCAAGACAAGTGGAGACCAGAGCCGCCAACCCTCTAAACTGTTACCCAATTCCTGCCACTCCACCGTTGAAGACCTAAGTCTACGAAGGGCAGTCAAGTCAGCCGCGACGACACCCAGGGTGGGGGTGGGGATAACGGGCCGTTTGCCCTGGCGTCGATCAGAGCAGCCAGTCCGAAGACAGGTGCTCTTCGTCTGACTACAGCCGAGACTCGCTACACACCGGTTGATACGCCTACGGGGACGAACCCTTTCCCACAACCGATCCCGTCCTCCGAGAAAAACAAGTCCTTAATGCGTCAGGCCTTGCTCTTCATCAACGCTTTATTTAACGGTTTTCCATATGCAGACACTGTAAATATTATGCCGTATGTTGCAATGGCAATATATCAAATGAAGATATTTAAAACCAGTCTGTTGGTTAAATTTATTCACTTGAATATCATTGTAGCATTTAAAACATTTGGAATTTCGTAAAAAAAAAAAAAAAACACTATGATTTTAAGTTTTTTTGGTGGACTCTTTATATGGAATAAACCATATTTTATTACTGTCACAATATAATAACTATATTAATCCGTTGCAATGGATTATTCAAAATCAAAATCTGTGTTTTTAAGATAAGGATTCCGAAGTTCAATTAACAAATTACCCTTTAATTGGCACTCTCATGACAATATGATAATAGTGACGTCACTATTACATCACAAATAAGTCATATATGCAAATTTAAAAGTTTTGACCAAAAATATGACCTTGTCACCAACTACTCTTTCAGATGATAGTAAATGATTTTAAAGTTTGTTCAGCATCAAAGAACAAGAGCCAAAAATCTACCCCTACCCCCATCAAATCTATTATCGTTAAAGAAACCTCGACCATTGGTAAAAGTGCAAAAAAAATATATTGGGCCATGTTGAAAATTTGCCCAAGAGCCAGTTTTGAGTTCTGGTGATGTGACTCTATCAAAAAATATCCAAAAGGTTTTGTTCTACCTCAGGTAGGGGTATCTCGCCATTTAAGCCTCTTTTTGGGCCTTCGCCGATAGCCTATAAAGTAAAAGAACGAATTCGTAGCTAAATAAATGACTTTTTTGTCTGTTCTTTATTTGGGTAATATATTTGTCATTTACTTGATTTACATAGTGTATAGGCAAGTTTCCCATTGCTTTCTATCTTAAATTTAAATTTAAACAACTAATGATTTCTGAATACTGCCTCAGTTCAGTAGTGTGTTTAAAGCAAAAAATTGGAACATTTAGGGCTACCTAATATAATTATATGGTCCATTTGACTACCTGCAAGCTTATACATTTGTTATATGTAAATGCAGATTTAGTTTGCTGATATTACTGTGATCTTTTTATACCACAATAAATACATAAAAGTTATCTAAAATTAAATTTAGATGGTGACATGGCGGAACAAGATTGAATGGTATCTGATCTCTCCTTGTAGTCCCCCTAGGCCTCCTTCACTTCTCCCTATTTTGCCTGTAGGCAGAAGTCACTTCTCCCTAAAAATTGATCCTAGTGGCGTATGTTTTGTTGCCTGGCAGCCTATCTTATCATTAAATTATCAAATGGCGAGGATGCTCTAATCCATTTAAAATCTAAGCCATCTGATGGCCCAGAGAGGTTATTATGGTCTTGTCATGTTAATAAATGTCTAAATAACAATTTATATAACATTTCAAACTAGGGAAAGATCTACATTAGGCAGAATTAGCTCTTAAAGGACAATATTGGTGCCAGTCATTATCACATATGTGATAGAACTGGTTAAATACATTCCAAATATAATTTTAACAGAGAGATCACTGCTACGATAGCTGAGTAATACAGGATTCGCGAATCGGAAGTGACGAACGCCAAAGGAAAACACTGGACATACCTCTATATAACTGGCTGAAGTGCCGACTCATAACAGATACATGGGCGAATTTCTGTTCACTAATAATTCCTTCGAAGACCAAAAGTTGTTATATGGGACTGTAAGAGGATAGCTGACAATTCAATACAGAACACGAGAAAAATAGAAATAGTCCGTACATTCCCTTGTTTATATTCATTCTATTGGGGAGAGCGGGGCTAGTTCGCACCATTTTTAATGAAACTGACATATCTCGATAACTTTTGAAGCTACGTTACTGTAGACCAGTGATTCCAAACCAGTGTGCCGTGGCACACAGGTGTGCCGTGAGATCTTCCTATGTGTGCCGTTTAGTTTGAGCCATACTATGTGTCTATGACTAGTCTGTGGCTACAGTTGTATGCCGTCTATGATTTGCCATGTTTTTTATTTTGTAAAAAAATCAAATATTTTTCATATATATTAAGTCGGGTGTGTCGCTGTTTTTTTCATGTTTCAAGGTGTGCCGTTGGCAAAAAAAGGTTGAGAACCACTGCCGCAGACCATACTAGATTAAAGACAGTGGAGTTATCTAATTTACGGCATACATTAAATAGTTTTATCCAAGTAATTTCATCTCAAAGTCACCATGTCCGAATGGGCGAACATCAAGCCTCGGCTGTATGACAGTAAGTGATATGTACCTACGCCTATACAATTGCGATGCGGCACAGGTTTACTTATGCCCCCGTCAGACCGGGGTGGCGTCCTTACTGTGCTGCAGCGACCATACGGCGACCAGAAAATGCACAAGGTCGCCGGCAAACGTGAACAAAACGCGCGAAAATGTCCCCAAAAACTACAAACTTGAAAGAAAAGTCATATTCTCATAGTTTTACAGTTCAGATCACAGAACCTTGGCGTTTGCTTTGAACATGCTCAAAATAAACACGGTGACTCGGCGATCATTGGCGACCATGGTGACTACAGCACGATAGCTTATGGCGATCTTAACGCGCTCTAAAACTATTTTCCATCGCCGTAGCAGCGAAGTAAGGACGCTACCCCGGTCTGATGGGGGTATTATTAGGAAAACTTGCCGCTTTAGAAAGAAGTTCTCAAAACTGCGTCGTTCGAAGAGTATGTAGACTTTTCAGTTCAAACTGGTCCGTGTCTGAAGGAAATAGGATAAACTTGAAAGAAAAACAGTTTCAGACTTTGAAATCTTTGTATGGTAAAACATTCTTTAAATGCGTCGTCATGGGCAACGGCGTTGGTAATCAGGAACTTGAAAGTAGTCCTAATGGCGGACTTTGTCATACAGCCGAGGCTAGATGTAGGGTACTGGAATCTGCTGAGATTTGGCCGAGTGGGCGCGAGATATGAATGGGGTCGGACTAACCCCGCTTTCCCCTACCTTATAAAAACATGGTAATGCATGGACTTTTTTTTCTGTTTTTCTTTCGTGTTCTCTTATCTACTGGCAGTCAATTCTTTTTATAAATTGTTAGATATCCTCTCACAGTCTCACACAACAACTTTTAGTCTTCGAAGGAATTATTAGTGAGCAGAAATTCGCCCATGTATCTGTTATCAGTTGGCACTTCAGCCAGTTATATAGAGGTATGTCTCGTGTTTTCCTTTGGCGTTCGTCACTTCCGATTCAGGAATCCTGTATAACTCAGCTATTGTAGCAATGATCTCTGAGTTAAAATTATATTTGGAACGTGTTTAATTAGTTCCATCACATAAGTGATAATGACTGGCACCAATATTGTCCTTAAATAATGCATGTTAAACTGATATATCTGTTTAAATGTTAGCTTAGTATTACAGGGTTTATAACTGATAAATTTGTTAATGTTAGCTTTGTTTTACATCTTTGTTAACTGATAGATTTGTTAATGTTAGCTTTGTTTTACAGGTTTTTAGCTGATAGATTTGTTAACGGTATATGTCCGATGTGTTCATATGATGATGCTAGAGGTGATCAGTGTGATAGATGTGGTAAATTAATCAATGCTGTAGAACTTATTCATCCTAAATGTAAAACATGTAAAAGTACACCAACAGTTAAATCTACAGAACATCTATTTCTAGATTTACCTAAGGTATACTGTTTTCTAATCCAGTGATGATATACATTTATCAAACCTACCATAGTCGTAATATATAATTACTGTAAAGCAAGGAAACTTGTGTGTACCGTACATCAAAAGAATGCCAAAATGTGAGTGGTGACCTTTGTAAAAAAAAAAAAAAATTTTAAATAGAATTACTCCTCGTTCGGTCATACTTACTGTTGTATTTTATACACCTACATGGAAATGAAGTTCATTCCTGGAGGACTTGCAAAAAAATCATGTCAAATGTGATACTAAGTGCATTTATCTGTTTATATTTACTTTGGACGTAGTATGTCGTCTCCCTGTCCGTCCGCTCATGTTTCGTTTGTAAAGCCTTGAAATACAGGTTTATATCCCAAAGATATTGGCATGTATCGAAAAATCGCATTTTTAGCTACAGGTCACAATATTTATCCGATTTTGATGAAACTTCAAATGTATGTTTATATCAGACAGCAGCTTCCTGGATTAGGGCCCCTGATTGTATGAAAAATCATATTTTTAGCATGTGGACCCTCTACAGGTCACAATCTTGCATTGCAACCACCTGTTAACTGATTTTTATACACCCACATTTTCACGAGGACATATTATGCCTTCGCCCCTGTCTGTCCGTCCACAATTTGTTTGTGGACACCCTACAGGTCACAATTTTTATCTGATTTCAATGAAACTTGAAATATAGGTTTATCTCCCTAAGATCTCGGTTCCAGAACAGTAGGACGTTAAACCCCATTTCATTTCATTTCGATATTCGCGCATATCGGATCGTAACTTCCTGAATTATGGCCCCTGATTGTACGAAAAATCACGTTTTTGGCTTGTGGTTCCTCCAGAGGTCACAATTTTTAGCATATCACCGTTAAACCGTAATGAAGGTTGAGTTCGAATTTCGTGAATATCGGACTAAAACTGACAGACAAAATGGCCGCCGCTTGTACACAAATAGTGTAAAAATATGGTATATCAAGGTTGTGGACCCTGTAGACGTCATAATTTTAGTCCGATTGTGATGAAACTTGAAATGCATGTTTATAACCCAAAGATCTTGGTTTCTTTTGATATTTGCGCTTATCGAATCGTAACTTACTGTAGACGTCATAGTTTTAGTTCGATTGTGATGAAACTTGAAATGCATGTTTATAACCCAAAGATCTTGGTTTCTTTTGATATTTGCGCATATCAAATCGTAACTTACTGAATTATGGCCCCTGATTGTACGAAAAATCACCTTTTTTTTGCTTGTGGTCCCTCTGGAGGTCAGAATAATTATCCGATTTAAAAAAAACGTTTGATTATATCACTGTTACGCCGTAATGAAGGTTGAGTTTGAATTTCATGAAAATCGGACCAAAACTGCCGGACAAAATGGCCGTCGCTTGTACGCGAATCGTGTAAAAATATGGTATATCAAGGTTGTGGACCTGTAGAGGTCACAATTTTAATCCAATTTTGATGAAACTTGAAATGCATGTTTATAACCCAAAGATCCTGGTTCCGTGCGATATTTGCGCATATCGGATCATAACTTCCTGAATTATGGCCCCTGATTGTAAAAAAATCGCCTTTTTTCGCTTGTAAAATTTTTACTCTGTGTAACCCTGTTCTGACTTTAGTAGTTCTATGAATCTAAAAATATTCGGATGGTTTGACGATACTTTCTTTAACTTTGAATGCAAACCTTCAACATTGTTGGTTGTTCTTGCACCTTCAGTATAGAAATGGTTCCATAAACTTATATCTACACCTTCGACCCACTGTTCTGTAATATAGTCTGCAAATTCGCGAACCCCAGGAATATCCATATCCGCGTCTTCTAAGGAGTAAAACCAAACGTCTTCAATATCACCAGGTTTTATAAGGACTAACATGGCCGCTCGTTTCACAAAACTAGTCACAGAATTGTTGATTTATTTCACTTACTGTTAATTTCTTCTTGGTAAACTGTTAAAATTGGCTTAGAATCGGCTTTAACCGATTCTTTCATTGCTGATAAAAACATGTCAACTTTTAATTTGGTTGGGTCAGCTTGATAATTATGGATGTTTCTGTAGGTAGTAACCAGGTCATTCCTGGTATTACAAGTAGCAGGGCACTCACGAATAGTACACCTCCAGTGAACGGTGGCTCCTCTTCTTGTCTTAACACTAAACTTATAATTATCATAAACTAGGCTTCGAGAACCTCTCGAGTTTGGAACGAATCTGACGTTTACCTGTGCATTAGCCATTTTGGAATGACATACAATTTGAACTTTCAACTATTTAATAAACTTTTATCATAAACAGTGTTTATCGTAATTAAGTATAAAATTAAACGGACATATGAACGAAAAATCAGACAGTGATTTATAGTTCACACATGTCATAGGTTAAATTGAACTGTTCATGCAATAATTAAAACAGAGTATATCTCACTAATCTATAACTAATCTCTAATCCGCTTAATTAGTAGGGTAAATCTGCTGGGAAAGTGAGAACAAACCGTGCCAGCTAGTGGTCAGGAGATTAAGATTGTTGATTGGATAATCATCAAAGAAGCCACCACAGCTGTACGCGTTTTCATTTAACACGTGAATTAAAATAAGATGTTTCGTGTACGATTGGTCTATTATTATTTTCAGGTACCGTGAAGTTATCAAAATATGAGTCCCAAAAGAAATGTCAATTTCATAGTCAAGAAATGCTTACGTTCACTTTCGTGCATTTGGCTTTGATGTAAATATCAACATTATTCAGAGGATACTCAATGGCAGACTCGAGAATCGTCGCATTTCGGCTCGTTGGTTGTTCTCATTTTTTCGACCCATGGTGATAAGAGAATTTTAAAATTATTGGCCATTTTGTTTATTTCCATTTAAGGCCTATAGATTATTTTTTTAAAGATAATATGAGATATCAAATAATCACCACTTGGATTAATTATTTGGAGTAAATAATGAGTTGTCGACGGCTTTATCATTGACCCGTGACAGTTGATTAGTAATAGTATTACTCAATGACACACACCCCATTGTCGATTAATTTACATCATCAGCCACGTGGTTTCGATTAACACTCAACAGCAATCTATATAAGATCAGAATTAATTCTTTTTTCTGCCACATCAGAGTGAATCGCATGAAGTTACCCAAAAACATTATCGCCAAAACTAAATATTTATCGATAATGTCTTGCACGCGGTGTCTGGGCCAATCAGCAAACGAGTTGTGTAGACAGCATGGCAACAGGCAGGGTTTATTTATAATATTTTTCGGGGGTTTTAAAACTCGATTGTATCCGTTCAAAATCAATTCATCGACAATATTTTGTTCATATTTGTAAACTAGAGATGCTCCGCTTTACAGCGATACCAATTATTATGCAAGAAGAATCACCTGTCGTCCAGCTGTGAGCGAAGAAAAATAACTAATTTCGCAGAGAATTTTAAGAAATAAGACAGATTTAAGAATACGGTACTCTTACAAAACGTTCAAATACAGGTGTTTTAAAATGTTTTATTGCTATTTTGATCTTTTGTGTCAATAGATAGTATATTTATAGACTCATTTTTGTGAAAATCTCAATTTCGATCAAAATCAATATTTTCACTTATTTTGTCTTTATCTCATTATTGATTCGCGCGCATTTCGACTCATTTAGCTGCGGCCGGTCACATATTAAAGGAGCTAAATCGCTAATTTGGCACAAATGAGTCGCAACACACATAATAATGTAATATGAATTTATATAAACTGTTTTATATTCAACCGTGTCCGTTTTACTGTGAATTGTCATCAGTTATTTTCGGCGAAATACGCCAGAAGTCTCAACCGCAAGTCAGTTTCTAGCGTCTGGTTATTCCAGTCAACACCGATAGTATTTATTGGGCATGCTCTCCAGATAAGAATATAGCGTCACCATTTGACATGACTTGTGGAATATGCCTAGCCTCGTTTTTAGAGTCCCTTATTACAAATAGCACTGAAAAGCATTATGGTACACGATTCGTGTACCAATTGTAAAATGTTTATTTTGTCTTAAATATTGGATATCAGAAGGCCATCTTTTCCTGGTAATATCACAACATCAATGTTGATTTAAATTGACAAATAAATCGTGTTTTCAATGTCGAAGATTTTGGATGATATTGAGTTAGAGACTTAGCTACTTTAAATCATTCTATATGTTAGATGAAATTAAATATCATAGATTAAATGGAATAATGGATAACACTAATTTAAAGAAAATATTTGTTTTGAAGGCTAAAAATACAGTTTTTGTCGGAATGTTGTCACTTTTGGTAAAAATACAATTTTTGTCGGAATGTTGTCACTTTCGGTAAAAATAAATTTTTGAAATTGGTTTTATGAAATAACAGATGGCATTAGGCATCAAATAGTGGAACTTTTATAAAAATAAAAAAATAAATGACTATTTTAAGGACCAAAAACCATTAAAAGTGACTTGAAGAAAATCGTGTATTTCTCTGCAACTGAACAAGTTAGAAACCATTTTGTGATATCTATATGATTGTATGGGTTCATTCTATTTGTTGAATGGAATTAAATATTATACTTTTGAAAAAATAACAAATAAGACTCATTTGAATAAAATAGCTGTTTTGAAGGTTAAAAATACAGTTTTGGAAAAAATGGCGTCACTTCCGGTGTCAAGTTTAAATTCTACTCCAATTGTATAATGCACATTGGCTTTTTGCATCAAATGGTGTTATGCATCAATAATTCACTCTTTTACAGGCAAAATAACTGCTCAGATTACAAACTAATTTTGGCATATATTGTCTTAGTATAGATATGTACTACAAGTTTATGTACAGTACCTAGAAATATTTTAAAATATGAAAAGTCTGAATGGGTTGTAAATTTCTTAATTTTACACTCTTTTCACCTTTGAATTGAAATGGTACAAACACAAAACCAAAATTTAAGCAAAAATGAGTTCGACAGGGGCATTCTTTTTTATCTATAAGATTTGTAAAAATTA